AGAGACGGGGTTTCACCGTGTTGACCAGGATGGTCTCGATCTCTTGACCTCGTGATCCACCCACCTCGGCCTCCCAAAGTGCTGGGATTACAGGCTTGAGCCACCGCGCCCGGCGAAAATGTGATTTTACATACAGTGTCATTTCATGCCCAGAAGCGTTACACGAAGTCCTGTCGTTATCCCTGTTTTACTGAGTGAAGGGTGTTGGGAGAGGCTAAGGTCACTCTACCCTTAAAAGAACTAGGACCAATTTATTAATGCAGAGTTGGCAATATGGCAGAAGCATATTTTCTCCTTAGGTTTAGTAGTTTTGCTGTGTTTAATCTGACAGGTATTCTTCCGGTTGCCCTGTGTGCTAGTGCTGTGGGGACTGTGGGGCTTAAGGAACAGCAGGGCTTGAGACAAGCACCCAAAATGCTGGCACAGGCAGGAGAGAGGGTGCATTGGAGCCCTGGAGCCAGCTGGGGCCAGTGCACCTGAGTGGCTGGACCCAGGGCCTCCTACACCTGCCCTCTGGTTGTGTCACCTTGGACAGATGTCTAACCCCTGTGCGCCTCATGTCTTTATCAGAGGCATGGGGAGTAGGGTTACTTCCCTCCCAGGACTGTGGTGAGGATGAGATACTGCCTGTACACAGCCTGAGTGGGCACCCTGCCAGATCAGCAGTAGGCACAATTAGGGTCAGAGGAGTTGGGTTGGAGTTAATGGAGTGGACCCTGAAGGGTGGTCAGAATTCAGGGTGGGAATGTAGGGAAGGGCACTGGCACTCCAGGCAAGAGGAGGGTGTGGACAGACATGCTCTGGGGTGGGACAGTGGCTCCCCTTGGCCAGGTCAGTGACAGTGCAGAGCTATGGGGACTGTGTGTGGGGATGACTCAGGTGTTTGTCTTAGAGCAGGTGATGGAGGCAACCGACTTAAGCTGGGTAGAGTAGGGGAAGAATTGCAGGAAGCCACGTGGTGGCAGCTTTGCGATCCTTGGTGTGGTGGTGGGCCTGGTCAAGTCTGCCAGAGGGGCAGAGACAGGAGGAGACAGTGCAGGGAAGGGGGTGCAAGTTGAGCTGCACACGCAGTGGGCCTTCTCTAGTGTGTGAGTCCAGGGTTTGGAGAGGAGGGCACTGTTGGAAGTGCAGGGGGCCAGGCTGCCTTGGGCAGAGTGAGGCCAGCGGGCCTGATAAAAGGGAGCAGGCTTCTGCAGAATGCGCCAGTGTGGAAGGCAGGGGTAAGAAGAAAGAACGTGAGAAGTGAGGTGGGAATCAGACCTGGACCATGAAAACTTGTCTGCAAGGACGGGGGTATCCACAGCATGTCTGGTGGCAAGGCAGGGAGGAGGCACTGCCGGGTGGGGGGGTACAGTTTGGTCATGGGCACCTTGATGGGCATGGGCTGTGGAGGCAGAATTCATGCAGCTACAGGCACCAGACGCTTGGAGTGGAGCAATTGCTTCGACCCACTTGGAGCTTGTTAGAAGCACAAACTGTAGAGCCTCATGCGGACCTCTTGAGTGTCCATCTGCATCAAAATAATATCCCAGGGTGAGTAGGCTTCACAGGGACATGGGGTCATGCGTAGGCAGGAGGCAGAGGTGACCTGAGCTGCCGTTCATAGCATGCTATGGTAGGAAGGGGCACATCCACAGCTGTCTACTGTCAAATCATGTTTTAAAGAAAAATGCATGGACGACCTGAGGAGCTTCTGTGATTTGTTGGCATTACTCCAGTAAGCTTCAGAGCATTCATATGTGCATTCACCAGTAACTTTTTGAGCACTTTCTGTGCACAGTACCTCTTGGAGATGCTGGGGAACAAGAAAACAAGACAGTGTTCGAAGAACTCTCACGAGATTACATTGTACCAAGGAGGGACAGACAGCTGCTAGCAGTCAGCTACATGAAAACAAATGGGTGGGGAGGGAAGAGATGGGTGAGGGGGGTGGTGTTATCCTCTCTGCTGAAGGCCCCCAGGGTGGGCCTGGGCTCTCATGGAGCGCTTCATGCTCAGGGATGGCGAGAGCAGCAGGGGCCAGTGGGTTGGACGTGTGCAGCCCAAAGGGGCGATGATGGGACCCAGGAGGACAGGGGCCTCTGGCTGTGCTCAGGTCCTCCGTGTGAGGGGCAACTGTCTGAGCCGAGGTGTGGTTTATGTTTTAGCCGATGTTGGGGGACACGGGCCAGTCAGGAAGGAGAGGGTGGAGGGCATCAAAGAGTGACTCTGCATCCAGGTGAGGATGAGCATCTTGTTACATGTCCAAGTGCAAACCCAGAGCCAGCACTGAGTTGTACAAATTCTGAGCCTCGAGGGAGAGGCCAGGGCTGTGGGCAGCCTCAGGGAGCTGTTGGACGGTAATCTAGAGGAGTGTTCAGAGGCTGGATCACAGGCACTGAATAGGAAGGGGTCTAGGAGGAGGGAAGGGCCAGTGGGGTCAGCTTCCAGAACACAGAAGTGTCATTTACTTCCTACCTCATGACAGTGCTAGGGTCGGATTCCACCCTTGTCATCTGCATGGCTCCCTAGTGTCATCATGGGCTGGGCCCTGTGCTCCTCTACCACCTTGAGTTGCTCAGTGGCAGAGACTGTCCTGCTTCCAGCCCCTTGGGCACCAGGCCTGGCCGTTGGTATTGTCTCCAGTGTTTACTGTGAATTCTGTAAATGGATGTTTACCCTCTCTAAGAAACACATTCAAGAGCATTTGTTGAATAATCACACAAAAACGTCTTTTTTTGATAGAAGGGAGAATTCCACAAGTTGGCTGATGCCAAGATATTTTTGAGTGACTGCCTGGCATGCGACAGCTGTGTGACTGCAGAGGAAGGAGTCCAACTTTCCCAGCAAAATGCCAAGGACTTCTTCCGCGTTCTGAACCTTAATAAGGTAAGGCATTCAGGGCATTTGCTGATGCTGGGGAGCCGACCTGGAGGAGGTTGAGATGAGGCCTGGCTTCCTGCACAGAAGCCTCTGCAGGGACATCGGATGCACATCTCAACCTTTTCCCTGTGTTGCTAACATCTCTCTTTGACCTTCTTCCAAACCTCTCCATGAATCAATTTCATGCT